TTCCCAGGTGCAATACAATGTGAATTGTTCATTGTTGAAGGGACACTACAGCATCACAGGATTGGGTCACCATTGGAGGAGCAATGTTTCCCAGCCTTTGATGTTTAAACCTCCACTTAGCCTGTTTGAATTCGGGAAATCTGAGAGGAGGAGGAGCGAGGCCGGCAGTGCTGCCTCCCACGTACCACAAAGAGCCATCCATGCTCCAGCGGTACTGTTGGTCTTCACATTAAAAAGGCAGATTGGTTGTAGGGATTTTAGAATGAAGTGAAGCTGTAATCCCGTCGCCTGATTACATAACCGCTCATAAAACTGTGATATATATCATTCTAGGCTTTCCCTCTTGTGAGTTTACAAATTTTCTAAATTGGTGTTGTGTATTACATGCATTTTCAGACTTTTTCAGTTTTTTAACTTTTCCCTAAGTCTGTGCTCTGCTAACTCTCACAATACCGCAGTTGTGTTCTCTGTCGGATGAGCCCAGAACTTTCTAAAGACACCCAACCCAGACAATCACGCCGAAGCACACATTACACATCCAGGTTCTAAAATGCATGCTGACCCACAAACTTTGTGTTTAAACACCAGTCAGCACCCTGAGAAACCTCACCTCCCTGGAATTCCCCTAATCTTGCTTAAAAGGAGCCTGCTAGCTTCTCTCAGGGTTGCCAGAATAAAAAATAAATAATAAATAAAATGCATGCTGTAAGCCTCTTCAAAAGCCAAGCAGGAAATAGCTTTCTAGGCATTTTCTTTTGGTATCTCTAAATATTAGGCCATAGACTAGAGAGTACAGCTCAAACTATAAGCCAGGAAAATGCAGTTAGAAACCTGTATGTTTAGAAGAGTTTTAAAACACAGGTCACTATATGCTATTTCAAACACAATGTCCGCAAAGGCAGTCAGCAGAACAGCAGTAACTGACCTTGATCCTGAGTGCACTAGTTCTTGAAGATCCAACACGTTATAGTATGAGAGAGGAAACTCTTTTCAAAGGAACACCACAGCATTAGTAACAAAAGGGGTAGCTCTTCTCCCCATAAATCACAGGTCTCCTTGTCTTTATGTACAATGAGTTTCTGAAAATGTATTTGAAAGTCAAACTGTAGGCATGTCTGGAGGGTTCTACTTCCAGAGAGCTCAAAAACACTGTAGAATCTATAAATGTAACTAAGGCATGATTTGTTGCTTAAACGTATAATGAATACATGATTATTTATTAAAAACAATGAATATTAAAGACAGGTAACAAAAATGTGTATGTTGAGATCAGTTCTTAACTCATCTGCCAATCGTCCAGCACTGACTTCTGCAGAGGTGGGAGCACGATAGGCTCATAGCCATGGTATTTAGTTTTCTTGAAATTGTTCTTAAGAGAAAGTTGCACGTCAGCCCACTTCTCTAGAAGGGGTCTGTGGGGAGATGGGCCTTCACACAGCTCCTGGCATTTGGATCACTGCTAGTCCATAGTCTCTACTTCTGCAGGCACTGTGTCCTCTATTAACACACTTGGTGGTATTGCCACATGTTACCGAGAATCTCTGCAGCATCTTTTTTTCTGCAACTGAACTCATGGGCAAGAATTCAATGTCCAGAGAGCATTTAACCAAAGTTAACTTGTATGCACCTGATCAGTTAATCAGAGGAATTGACACTTTTGTTTTTCTGGCTTCTACTCATTTTTTACCAGATTAGAATAAACTGTCAAAGGCATTGGAATAATTGGATAACAACATATGAAAGGCTATAGCCAAAAGTAGAACCTTGGGAAGCAGGAAGAAATGTCATAATGAAGCTTAGCACTTGGTTGTGTGCAGGAAGAACATGTATTATGATCCACAGAGTTCAAGGCACCCACTATGTAATAATAGTAGGGTCATGTGAACTCAAAGAACTCCCAAATCTGAGGATTAGCTACTTCTGCCATGAGACACACGTGATTAGCCCATGGGGCAATGCTTAAATTAAGTAAATTAGTTTTTCACAGAACTTACCAAGTATGCTCTTTCCTGGTAAGTATACAGTTGGACTCAGCCTAGGTGGCAGGAATATAGTTGTAATAAAGGGGAGGGACATGAGGAAATGAAATAGGAAACTGGCTGGGAGGGAGCCCCCAACGTCTAGATGTAGATGATCCTCCTAGCAGAGCTGTTCCCATTGAGAAAATGGCTGCGTGGGGCAGGGGATAGAGAACTGAATGTTTTATGGGTAAAGTGCATTCTCCCTACTTCCTTCCCCATGGCTTCTTTCAGTAAAATCACTCACTTTCTCTATGTGTTGGGTAATCCATGGCCTTAGCTATAGGTGGTTTTCTTTTTCCTTTGGGGCCTACCACCCAGCTCCCAAATAAATACATGGAGACTTATTCTTGCTTATAAATACCTGGCCTTAGCTTGGCTTGTTTCTGGCCAGCTTTTCTTTTTTCTTTGCTTTTCTTGCTTTCTTTTCTTTTGTGGTGTTTTGAGACAGGGTTTCTCTGTATAGCTGTGGAGCCTCGCTCTGTAAACCAGGCAGGCCTAGAACTCGTAGAAATCTACCTGCCTCTGCCTCCCAAGTGCTGGGATTAAAGGCGGGTGCCACCAACGCCTGGCATACTTTTCTAACTTAAATTATCCCATTTGTCTTTAACTATATTTTGCCTCTGGGCTTTTTGCCTCTCTTTATTCTATGTATATTTCTTTGCTTACTACTCTGTGCCTGGCTGTGTGGCTGGATGGCTGGCCCCTGGTGTCCTCCTCTTTTCTCACTCCTTGCTCTTCTTTCAAGCCTAGGTTCTCCTCCTATTTATTTTCTCTGCCTGGCAGCCCTGCCTACCCCTCTCCTGTCTAGATATTGGCCATTTGCGTGTTTATTAGACCAATCCAGTGTTTCAGGCAGGCAAAGTAACGCAGCTTTACAGAGTTAAACAAATGCAACACAAGGAACGCAACACATCTTTGCATCATTAAACAAATGTTTCACAGCATGGTGGATGTAACACATCTTAAATATTCCACAACAATCAGCACCAGACCTGTATTCTAACCAGTGGAAAATAGAAATATTACTTTGGGAAGACAATTGGCTGCAGGTAATAAGAATCACAAGTGCATCTCTGCTGCTGTGTGTTGTGTTTCTAAGAATCCTGGAAGACAGAGTAATTATAACTCACAGATTAAAGTCTGGTTTGCTGACTAGTAGGTTCTGTACAAAGGCCAAAGTGAAAAATGAAAGGTTTTCACGGGGTTCTGAGTTAGGGAGCCAGTGCTTACCACCTGGTCTAGAGCAAAAGAAGGAGGGGAAGCATGGACATATACGAACCTCACAACCTCCTCCCAGAGGAAGACTCAAAACCCCAGTTACAGGTCAGTTCCATATGCTCTCCATCCCTCTAAATTCACTCCTAGATGGAGTTGACCTCACACCCAGACTACCACATACCCCACATATGTCCTTATATCTGTGATGTTGTGTGGGATCCACTACTTCCTGATCTGTCCCGTCAGGATAGACAAGTGATCTGGTCATGCTCACTGAGCAGACAATCTTCCTTTTAAGTCATCCTTCAGATACGCAGAGCAGAGTTAGGGCATCCGGTTCATGCTAAAGAGAAGTTTAGTATGCTAGCTCACTGACTAGTCAGTACTTGATCTGCCCATGATCCAATCCAACCCCTTTATTCTCTGCCTACAGTACTTCTTCCAGTGCAAAGTACCTGAGGAATCTCAGGGACACCGAAGACCATCCACAGCCTCTAAAATCATCTCCAGTATCTAGCAGCACAGCTTTGGGGGTGAGCATAGCTATGGTCCCAAGGACTTTTTAAGCCATCACTTGGCATAGCAACACATCCACTTCAATGAAGGCCTCTCTTGCCTCCAGTTTGTAACATGGCCTCTGGCTTCATAATGGTCCCGGTCAGTCTGAATCCTACATGAGGTAGTGATTCCCTACTCCATTTGCTCTGCCCTGGCTCACTGACTCATACTTCACTGAAAGAGATCACATTCTTGGAATGCAGTGACTATTGTCTAAAAAGTTCAGGAGAATTCGTACACGAGACCCTGTTTTCTACAGTTACATAACAAAAAGGAAATCATTTTTCTGCACCTTGAGGTTAAGGCTGACATTGTTTGGAGTGGCTCAGTGAAGCATAGTGAGGGTCACTGGGGTCAAGGAATGAACCAGTTCTGTGATGTAACTGACCTTATGTGGACAGTAAGTAGAGCCAAGTGGATCATACCGTTTCAGTCTAAGCAGGTTCCTAACAAACAGGTCACAGCACTGTCAGTAACGACAGTCCTGCCACCTTGCTCTCAGAGGGAGACGTGTGGTTAGGCAAGAAGATCATGCCTCACAAGAAAGAGGGTGAAGAATACAGTTCCTGGAATGGTTGGGAAGTGGCAGTCCTGGACACCATGAAGAAACATCTCTGCCTTACAGGAAAATGTTAAAGGCATTTCAGTAGCACTCCCTTACTCATTATGTAAATCGTCATGAATAAATACCACCCTAACCATGAACCCGTGCATCTTATGAACATTTTTAGAAAAAAATATGTTGAGTTATGGGGCACCATAACATTTGCCAGCAGCTCACAAGTTGGAGCATAGCTCTAGAGCAGTGGTTCTCCACCTTCTAATGCTGCAACCCTTTAATACAGCTCCATAAAATTATTGCACGACTAATTCATAACTAATTTAGCTACTGTTATGGATTATAAATACCTGAAATGTTGGATATCTGATGTGTGACCCCTGTGAAAGTGTCATTCGATCACAAAGGGATTGTGACCCACAGCACCTGAGTCAGAAGGTGCATGGGACTTTGCTGACCCAATGTACAGCCTTGTCACCATAACCTTTGAGGACCATTGGCAACAATCTTTTCAAGCCTACTCAAGTCACCACAGCTACTCAGGAATCCCTACCATCCCAAACCCCACAGCCACATGACTCTGTATGTTCCCTAGGCTGACTCAATGTCACACACAGTTCCATCTCCCAAACGTGTGCCTTCTGGTCCAGATCAGCTATGATTAGAGTCCCATGTATAAAAAAGAATTGGTCCCCAAGGAGGTTCTATTGTGAGGTAATGATAGAGCCTATGAGACGTCTTTAGAACTTTGAGAGACTAGGAGACTCCAGTCCTTTCTTTTCTTGGCCATGGAGTAAGTGCTTTACTCTGCACACACCACAATGACCACCTGGTACCCCGATCATCAGAGGACTAAAAGCAGTGGGTCGGCCTAACTATCAGTTGGTCCCCTGAAACTGTAAGTAACCTTTGTCTGTTAAGTAGACTACCCCACATATTTTCTAGTTTTTATACAAATATACTTTAAACATATTCCCACCCCTTCCCTTAGGTTTCCCTTCCTCCCTCCCTCCCTCATCCATTAACCAGCCCTAGACAATGTTGCTTCTACTTTCATTACACACACACACACACACACACACACACACACACACACACACACACACACGGTCTGACAACAAATGAAAGGAAATGTGTGATATTTGTGTTTCATTCTGAGACTGACTTAATCTGCCTAGTGAGATTGTCTCCGGCAGCATCCATTTTTCTTCAAATGACATGTTTCTTCTTAGGGCTGAAAAATATTCCCGTGTATGTATTCCACACTTTCTTTTCTAGTCGGCCTCATTTAGATATTTTGAATGATGCTTTGATAAACAGACTGCAGAAGATCCCTGACATGTTAATATGGAGTCATTCAAGTAAATACCCAGGAGTGTTAGTGTTTAGTCACATGACAAACCTGTTTTTAGTTTTTTGAGGATTTTCCATGCTGATTTCCATCATTTTACATACATACATACCAGAAACATGTTATCTGCCGGGGTCCCTGTTCAGGCGTCACTCTGCTGGGGTCTCTGGCAGTCAGGGCTATGGGAAGGAGGGGGAGTGTTGAACACCCAGACTCCCCTCCTAGTCACTGGAGAGATCCACAGTCGTGGAGACCTGTAGAAGCAGAGTCTCACTTTATGGTAACAGGCATGTGCTTACATAGAGTTGGGAAAGTGGGTGGGGACCTCAGGATGGGGTGATGTGTAAGGGCCCATAATATTCCACCACGCTAGCAGTAGCTGGGAAGAGGCAGTTCTGCTGACTCATGTTGCCAAACTCTAGCCAGGCTCAGGAAATTCCACTAGGCCTTGTGTCCTGGCCTTTTTAGGCCCAACAGTTAGTGTTCCCTTTTGTCTGCATTCTCACGGGCATTTGTTACCATTTCTTTTCTTAAAAAACAACATTCTGACTGGGATAAGATAGAATCTCAAAGAAGATTTTAGTTTGCATTTCTCTGATGGCTGGTGAGGATGAACATTTTTCCATGCTTATTGCCCATTTCCAGGCCACCTTTTGAAGCTCATTTATTTTATTTGCTCATTTATAAATTGGGTTGTTTGATCTCTTTTTTTTCTAGTTCTTTGTATATCCTAGGTATTAATCCCCTAGACATATGACTTGTAAAGATTTTCTCCCATCTTGTAGGCTATCCATTTACTTCACTCAATTAATTGTTCCTTTGGTTGTGCAGATGCTTTTTAATTTAGTGGAATTTCAATTGTCAATTGTTGTCAGTATTTTCTGATGTCTAGCCTTGTGTAGGCTGATAAATGAAGTGTTTCCCCTACTTTCCATCTGTCTCAGAACTTAGGTTTTACATTAAGACCTTTGACCCTTTTGGAGTAGATTTTCACAGACAGTGAATGATGTGTGTCTAGCTCCATTCTTTTATGTGTGGATATCAAATATTACCAGGACCATTTTTTAAAGATACTCATTCATCTCCAATGTGTTGTTGTTGGGTTTTGTTTCAGCATCTCTGTCCAATGTCAGATGCCTGTAACTAACTGTGTGAGTTCATATCTGTGTCTTTCACGTTGTTCAACTGGCCAATTTTTGTGACAGTACCACGTTGCTTTAGCACTGCAGTCCTGTAGAAGAGCTTGAAAGCAGGTATGGTGGTACCTCTGTCAAGATTATTTTGTTCTACATCTGTGGAAAATGAAATTGGAAGACTTTTACTCTTTTTTTGTTTGTTTGTTTGTTTGTTAATTTTGTTTTCACATCCTAATTCCAGTTCCTCCTCTCTCCCCTCCTCCTGTGCCTACCACCCTTCCCTCACCCCCTCTTCCTGTGCCTACCACCCTTCCCTCACCCCCCTCCTCCTGTGCCTACCACCCTTCCCTCACCCCCTCTTCCTGTGCCTACCACCCTTCCCTCACCCCCTCTTCCTGTGCCTACCACCCTTCCCTCACCTCCCCCCTCCTCCTGTGCCTACCACCCTTCCCTCACCCCCTCCTGTGCCTACCACCCTTCCCTCACCTCCCCCTCCTGTGCCTACCACCCTTCCCTCACCTCCCCCCTCCTGTGCCTACCACCCTTCCCTCACCTCCCCCTCCTGTGCCTACCACCCTTCCCTCACCCCCCTCCTCCTGTACCTACCACCCTTCCCTCACCTCCCTCCTCCTGTGCCTACCACCCTTCCCTCACCTCCCCCCTCCTGTGCCTACCACCCTTCCCTCACCCCCTCCTCCTGTGCCTACCACCCTTCCCTCACCCCCTCCTCCTGTGCCTACCACCCTTCCCTCACCTCCCCCTCCTCCTGTGCCTACCACCCTTCCCTCACCCCTCCTCCTGTGCCTACCACCCTTCCCTCACCTCCCCCTCCTGTGCCTACCACCCTTCCCTCACCTCCCTCCTGTGCCTACCACCCTTCCCTCACCCCCTCCTCCTGTGCCTACCACCCTTCCTCACCTCCCTCCTGTGCCTACCACCCTTCCCTCACCCCCTCCTGTGCCTACCACCCTTCCCTCACCCCCCTCCTCCTGTGCCTACTACCCTTCCTCACCCCCTCCTCCTGTGCCTACCACCCTTCCCTCACCTCCCCTCCTGTGCCTACCACCCTTCCCTCACCTCCCCTCCTGTGCCTACCACCCTTCCCTCACCCCCTCCTCCTGTGCCTACCACCCTTCCCTCACCCCCTCCTCCTGTGCCTACCACCCTTCCCTCACCTCCCCCCTCCTGTGCCTACCACCCTTCCCTCACCTCCCCCCTCCTGTGCCTACCACCCTTCCCTCACCCCCCTCCTGTGCCTACCACCCTTCCCTCACCCCCTCCTCCTGTGCCTACCACCCTTCCCTCACCCCTCCTCCTGTGCCTACCACCCTTCCCTCACCCTCCTCCTGTGCCTACCACCCTTCCCTCACCCCCCTCCTCCTGTGCCTACTACCCTTCCCTCACCCCCTCCTCCTGTGCCTACCACCCTTCCCTCACCTCACCCCCTCCTGTGCCTACCACCTTTCCCTCACCTCCCCCCCCACCCCACCACCTGCTTATCGGAGAGGGTAAGGCCTCCCATGGGGAATCAATGAAGTCTGTCCATCACCACACTGAGGCAGGACCAATGCCCTCCCTCCTGGGTCTAGGCTGAGCAAGGTATCTCTCCATAGGAAATGGGCTCCAAAAAGCCAGTCCATGAACCAGGGATAGATCCTGGTCCCACTGCCAGTGGCCCCACTGACTCCCCGAGCCACCCACTGTCACCTGCATTCAGGGGGCCTAGGTCAGTCCAATGTAGGTTCCCCAGATATCAGTCCTGAGTCAGTGAACTCCCACTAGCTTGGATCGGCTGTTTCTGTGGGTTTCACATCACAGTCTTGATCCCTTTGCTGATATAATCTCTCCTCCCTCTCTCTGACTGGACTCCAGGCATTCCGCCCAGTGGTTAGTTGTGGAGCTCTGCATCTGCTTCCATCAGTTACAAGATAAAGGTTCTATAATGACAATTATGGTAGTCGTCAATCTGATTACAGGGACAGGCCAATTCAGGCACTCTCTCCGTTACTGTTTAGTCTTATCAGTGGTCATCCATGTGTGTTCCTGGGAATTTCCCTAGTGCCAGGTTTCTCAATAATCCCACAATGGCTCCCTCTATCAAGGAATCTACTGCATTGCTCTCCCTCTCTGTCCTTCTCCCAACTCAATCATCCTGTTCCCTAACATTCTCATCCCCACTCCCCTTCCCTCCTCCACTCTCCCCTTACCCACTCCCCCCTTCCTCCCATACCCCCAATTTACTCAGGAGACCTTGTCTATTTCCCTTTCTCTGGTAGATTCATGTATGTCTCTCTTAGAGTATTCTTTGTTGCCTAGGTTCTCTTGGGTTGTGAATTGATTGTAGCCCTTATGAACAAGTACACACCATATTTGTCTTCCTGGACCTGGGTTACCTCATTCAGGATGGTTTTTTCTAGTGCCATCCATTTGCCTGATTTCAATTTTCAAATTTCAAGATGTCATTGTTTTTTTAACCGATGAGTAGTTCTCCATTGTGTAAATGTACCACATTTTCTTTATCCATTCTTGGGTTGCAGGACATCTAGGTTGTTTCTAGATTCTGGCTATTATGAGTAATGGTGCTATGAACATAGTTGAGCAAATGTTCTTGTGGTATGAGTGCGCCTGAGTGGATATATGCCTGAGAGTGGTAGTGCTGGGTCTTGAGGTACTTTGATCCAATTTTCTGAGAAACAGCCATACTGATTTCCAAAGAGGCTGTACAACTTTGCACTTCTACCAGCAATGGAGGACTGTTCCCCTTTTACAACATCCTCCCCAGTATATGCTGTCATTTGTGTTTTTTATTTTAGCCATTCTGACATGTGTAAGATGATATCACAATATTGTTTTGATTGCATTTCCTTGATGGCTAAGGATTTGAACAATTTCTTAAATGTCTTCCAGGCATTTTAGATTCCTCTATTGAGAAGTCTCTATTCAGTTCTGGACCCCACTTTTTAATTGAATTATTTGGTGTTTTGGTATGTAGTTTCTTGAGTTCTTTGTATATTTCGAAGATCAGTCTTCTGTCAGATGTGATAAAAAGATAAATATCTTTTCCCATTCTGTAGGCTGATGTTTTGTCTTATTGACTGTGTCCTTACCCTTGCAGAAACTTCTCAGTTTAAAGAAGTCCCATTTATTAATTGCTGCTTTTAGTGTCTGCACTGCTGGTGTTACAGTTAGGAAATGGTCTCCTGTGTAATTCATTCAAAGCTACTTCCAACTTTGTCTTCTATGAAGTTCAGTGTGATTAGATTTATGCTGAGGTCTTTGATCCATTTTGACTTGAGTTTTATGCGTGCCCATAGATACATTCTTCTAAATGTCAAACTCCAGTTACGTCAGCACCATTTACTGAAGATGCTTTCTTTTATCCATTGTGTAATTTTAGCTTCTTTGTCAAAA